TGCTCTGTAACTGCTCCAGTAATGCACCTGTCATATCTGATCTAACAGAAGCAAGCCATGCTGAAGAGAGACAGCCTTGTAACAGAGTATCCAGGTGGCCATGAAGAAGTGCATTATAGGATGTTTGTCTGCGATCTGCTACATTGTGTTATTTTTTATTAGCTTTCCCTGCAGTTTTGAAAAATCTATAAACCCTGCTCACAATGCCCAGTGCACATATAAATTGTTAGTTTTGAGCAAGAGCATGGTTTGGAGTTGACCGTAAATAAACTTTAGCAGTTACTTATAGTAAGCAAGGTTCTTATTTTAGGTGAAACAAGGAATAAGAATGGCAGTTATAGGCGAGTGCTCCGGTTTTCTCTGCTTGAAAATTAGGGCATATTAGGCCAGGTTTACTAACAGAACGCACATACAATTGTGCAGATATACAAAATCTATGCTATTGGAATTTAGGATACAGAAGCAGCGCTCTCATGAAACCACACCTGTGATTAGATAAGGATATCCAAACCTGGCTGCTCAGGCTCTATAGCGTATTGAAAGTTATTTTCAGTCCATGTTGTGTGCAAACCTTTCCAGCCTAAGCTGTGACATGCCTAAATGAAATTGTGATTTTTCTTGGACTAAGCATTGTAGGAATAAACCCATATTGGAGTGTACACATTGTACACACAGGGGTTGATTTACTAAAAACTGGGACAGACAAAATCTAGTGCAGCTCTGCGAAGAAACCAGCTTCCAGGGTTTTTTTTTGTCAAAGCTTAATTGAACAAGCTGAAGTTACAGGCTGATTGGCTACCATGCACAGCTGCACCGGATTTTGCACTCTCCAGTTTTAACCAATTCCTGCCCAGCCAATAGCAAAATGACAGCCAAGTGGGACTTTAGTTGATCTGGGTGGGCATCATATGGCGTCCTCCCGGATCACTGCCTCGCATGCGCCCAGGAGGCTGCGCAGCGGGGAGATCTTTCATCGGCTGTGTCCAAACAATGACCGACCTGTTGCCAGTACCATGTGACTGCTGCGACCTATCACAGCAGGTCACATGATCATAGTAAACAATAGATTGCTTCCTTTCATGCCATCCATTGTATACAATTGTGTTGCTAGTTGTGCTTGGTCACAGTGATCACATGGTACAAACTGGGCTAGTCACAGCCAATCTGTGTCATGTGCTGTGGCCAATCACCACTAATAACAAAAAAAAAAAACCACGGAATTAATCTATTTCATTCAAATAAATGCTTGCCTATAGCAGTGAAACGATCATAATGCGTGTTAAAAAAAAAAAAATACTGATCACTTCCCCAGAGTAGTACAATGTTACTATGGTAACATATTACTCTGTCACAGTGTAGAAAAAAAAATTGTGAAAAAAAAGTAATAAAAAGATTGAAGAAAAAAAATATTATTTTTCATACTGTCAGTAGTCATTTAGTCAGTGTCCTGATCACTGCCACACCACCAACAAATGATACCATGTTTTTGTAAACCTGTCTATATTCCCCTTTTAATAAAATGTACGTAATAAAAATATTTTTCTTTCAACTGCAGAGCTCTGGTATTTGACATTCCTATGTGCTCTCGGGAGTTGAGAGACTGTGAGTAAAGGCAGCCAGATTACAGGGTAGCAACTGTCAGACCTCTGACATTCAAGCTGAAGTGTCAGGCTCAAGCAAGTAAATAAAGCTAAGGGTACACACACTTGTACTTCTTTCCACCTTCATAAGTATAATATTTTAAGAATGAATGAATTTTTAGATTCTTACATAAGTCCAATCATGACTGGTTCTGTCGAAGTGTCTACAGCAAAAACTGTTACCATAGCAACCACTCAGTCTCCTTAAATTCTCCCTTAGGTCTACTTATGTTATTTAAGGAAAACTATATTTTTTTTACCGTTCTTATTTCTTTTTAGTTTATTTTAATTAATATACTTTTTTTTCTTAAATAAACATTTAGGGGAGAAGTTCAGGATGTAAAAAAACAAACAAACATCTATACTTGCCTGCTAGGTGGATGAAGCATGGGTCCCCCAACGCTACTAAGACTGAGAACTGAGTGATCAAAGACCACTGATTGCTCAGTTCTCGGTCTTCAGTGAGCAGAGAGCTGGTGACTCTCTGCTCTAACCCTCTCACTGGAGTGCTGGGCCGTGAGGGAGTAGCTGGCACAGGCTTTCAGCAGCTTGCTGAGAGACTGAGCCAGCTGCCAGTCTAGGCATCTGGGTGGATCCCAATTTTAAAGTTCAGAGCCAGTGACGTCAATTGACAACGTACTTTATCTCGTTTATTGCCTGAAAATGAGTCACAAGTGTGGAGAACAAAGTGCACTCCTGTGATCCAAAAGAGCTTTGACCCTCCTTCTTCCCCTTTAATACTGAATGTTTAATACTTGCTATGTAGGGTATGTAATTCCACTTTATACTGAAAATCTTCTTTAACAGCAGAGATGAAGGAGGTTGTTCATCCCCTGAGATACTGGGCGAAACTGAAGAACAAAGCTGCACTGCAGAAATTACACTGCTAAGTTTATTGTGTATAGCTGGTTGTAGACAGTCCTGTCCTTAGGGCACACCTCACTGACATGTTTTGCCCCTTTATGATCAAGCCCTAGGAGGGGGCAAAACATGTCAGAGGGACCTGTCTTAAAGCGGAGCTCCACCCAAGTCTTTGTCCCCTGCTCCCCATTAAGGATTGGCACATGTGGGGAGCGGGTACCCGAATTTGAAAGGTACCTGCTCTCACTACACTGAAGTGGAAGTTGTACACCCCCCCCCCCCTTCTCTCTCCCCATAGTCTTGTGGGACACGTAACAGGTCCCAGAAGACTACAGGGCCATTCACAAAGCGCAGTGCTTCTCGCGCATGCACAGTGGGCACCCGGCTGTGAAGCCCAAGCTGTCACAGCCAGGTGCCTACACTGAAGATGCCGGTGCCAGGGAGAGAAGACGGCCGATGAAACCAGTTATGGTGAGGACACCGCTGGACCGAGGGAAAGGTAAGTGACTGAATTTTAAAAGTCATCAGCTACAGTTTTTGTAGCTGCTGACTTTTATTTATTATTTTTCAGGTGGAACTCTGCTTTTAAGTGTAGGGATTATGTCTACAACCAGCTATGCACAATAAACTTACCAGTGGGATTTCTGTGGACTGCATCATAGACAAGTTCTTGTGACCTTATCCCACAGCAGTGTATTTCTCGAGAGGCTGTTTTAGGAGTTTGAAGTGGTGAATGCCTCTTGTCCGTACATGCTGAGAGGTACGAATAGGAGATTAGGCCACAGGGATTTCAAATCATTGCATCAGTGAAGTGGTGTGCCTGACAGCAACCGGCTGACAAAAGCCCAGGTGCCATTATGCAAATTCTAGTCACCAAAGCGACCTGGTGCCTGGATTTGTTGAGCCTTGGAATATTCATATATAAAATTCTTTCTTACATGTCTTATAAGTTATATATTCAGAAAGTTTATTTTTTAAAAGAACATACAAATAAGCAAAAACACTTTTCACTTCAATGTAAACCAGTACGAGTGTGTTTATCCTAAGGCCCTGGAGAAGTCATTTGAACAGCTCTAACTTTCTTCATGCTGCCTGTACTGCAGTGGGTAACAACTCAGACATCAAATTTCCAGAGTGAACACGATGCTTTATTTGTTCTGAGATTTTTTAGCAGTTGTATCTACAGCTGCAGAAGGCGAAAAGGCGTTACTGTACTACGTGTGTGTGTAATTTGTTGTTGAATCCTTCACTGCATTTGCCTAGTATTGCAGAGCATTCCTATGTTGGCTTTGGTGGCTGATATGGCGTTTGTAACACCTCTTTATTAAGTTACTCCACTTGTAGGTTAACTGTCAGGAATGGTCTGGCCAGTAATGGTGGGACTCACCTGCCTTGTGGGCTGCAGTACCAGGGCTGGCCAGCGGGTGCTCCCAGCAATCAGAGACTCAACCCTGCAGCCAGCCAAACACCTGAAACTGCTTATGTAGGTGTATTTAAGTGATGGCCAGACCTGCAGTCTGGGCCTTGGTGTGTGTTTTTCCTGGGCCCTGTATCTTGTTCCTGCATCCCTGTTCCTGTTCCTGTCTCTGTCTGATTCGTTGCTGACCCTGCCTGATCTGGACCTCTGCTGACTTCTCCTGCTTTATCCCTGGCTTGTGACCCCGACCATTCTCTGCCTGACCCCCCTGTACCTACCTGCCCGATTGTTATTGACCCGGCCTGCCTGACGACGCTTGCATTGTATGTATTATCTGTGGGTGGTTTGGTTCGTTTGCACTGTGTTATGTTTTAGTATTGCACTGCGTTTGTTTGTATTGTTAGTCTTTAATAAATTATATTGTTTTATAACTTATCTGAAACCTGCGTTTCCCTGCGTCAGTCACATACCTCTGGTCATACCCAGGAGACTTGACATTACACCAAGGCCAATCCTGACCGGAAGTGGCTGCACAGGGAAGCCATCTTGGTTTGTTGATGGGAAGGATGGATCTTGATGAGGTTGTGTATTTATCTCTGCTAGTGTTTGATGACAGAGAATATGCTTATCAGACTCTGAGGGAGTATCCCTGGGATGAACTGCTAGAATGTATACGGCTCGCTTATGTTCTAGTAGATCAGGGCACAGAATTCTCTGAGGTGCAGCCATTGATTCAGGTTTGTGCGGAGTTGGTTTCATCTGGTACCCCCGAATGCAGGGATGAATTTTTGCCGCCATTTAGTGCCGACCAGGTAGAGTCCCTGGTATGGTTATTAGAGGATGATGTGGATTACTTTCTGGAGCGTTATTCTGCATGTTCACCACAGATACTAAGAGATTGTATAAACGCAGTGCAGTCATTGACCAGACAGGCTTTGTGTAAACTGAGCTTCGTTCAACCCATACTGCAGACATGGTCAGACTTGTTGCACCCAGCCTCAGTCAGCTTACAACATCATTCCTCCACTCAAGGCACTCTTCCTACATCCCCGACAGCACCCCCAGTGACTGCCCAGTATACTCTAACTACCACATACCAGTCCTCTGCTCCCACTCGCTGCACCTATCCTTTCTTTAACCCTATAAAGAAGCCCTCTGTAGCAACTGTTCCCTCCCCTTTTCCATCTTCCAGCTCTTCTCTGTCCTCAGCTGCTCCATCCGTTTACAAACCTGCGTTTACTTGCAGTGCCCCAGTAGTTAAAACCAGAAAAAAGCGGAAATTCTTTCCAACCAGTACCATCCTGCCAGTATCCAAACCGGTGAGCCTGCCGTCTGAGAACCTGCCTTCCGTGGTTCAGCCTGGTGCCTCGGCACCTGCACTTCAGCCTGATGTCTGTACCCAGCCTGATGTCTGTACCCAGCCTGATGAACTGATCCAGCCTGATGATCCTATCACGCCTGATGACCCAGTGCCCGCTGTCGAGCCAGACGATCCGGTACCTGATGACCCGGTGCCCACTGTCATGCCTGGTGACCCGATGCCCGCTGTCGAGCCAGACGATCCAGCGCCAGATAACCCGGTGCCTGCTGTCGAGCCAGACGATCCGGTACCTGATGACCCGGTGCCCGCTGTCGTGCCAATTGACTCAGAGCCCACTGTCGTGCCTGGTGACTCGGTGCCCACTGCCTTGCCAGATGACGCGGTGCCCGCTGGCGAGCCAAATGACCTGATGCCTGGTGACCCAGTGCCCGCTGTCATAACTGGTGACCCGATGCCCGCTATCGAGCCAGACAATCCAATGCCTGATGACCCAGTGCCCGCGGTCATGCCTGGGTGATCCGATGCCTGCTGTCGAGCCAGACGATCCAGCGCCAGATGACCCGGTGCCTGCTGTCGAGTCAGACGATCCGTTACCTGATGACCCGGAGCCCGCTGTCGTGCCAATTGACTCAGAGCCCATTGTCGTGCCTGGTAACTCGGTACCTGTCGCTCCGCCTGGGGGTCCGGCGCCCGTCACTCCGCCGGGGGGCCCGAGACCTGTCGCTCCGCCTGGGGGTCTGGCGCCTGCCGCTCCGCCTGGGGGCCCTGTGACCCGTCGCTCCGCCTGGGGGTCCGGCGCCCGCCGCTCCGCCTGGGGGCCCGAGACCCGCCGCTCCGCCTGGGGGTCCGGCGCCCGCCGCTCCGCCTGGGGGCACGAGACCTGTCGCTCCGCCTGGGGGTCCGGCGCCCGCCGCTCCGCCTGGGGGCCCGAGACCTGTCGCTCCGCCTGGGGGTCCGGCGCCCGCCGCTCCGCCTGGGGGCCCGAGACCTGTCGCTCCGCCTGGGGGTCCGGCGCCCGCCGCTCCGCCTGGGGGCCCGAGACCTGTCGCTCCACCTGGGGGTCCGGCGCCCGCCGCTCCACCTCGGGGCCCGATGCCTGTCGCCCCCTCGCCTGGGGGCCCGATGCATGTCGCCCCCTCGCCTGGGGGCCCGATGCCTGTCGCCCGCCCCCTCGCCTGGGGGCCCGATGCCTGTCGCCCCCTCGCCTGGGGGCCCGATGCCTGTCGCCCCTCGCCTGGGGGCCCGATGCCTGTCGCCCCCTCGCCTGGGGGCCCGATGCCTGTCGCCCCCTCGCCTGGGGGCCCGATGCCTGTCGCCCCCTCGCCTGGGGGCCCGATGCCTGTCGCCGCCCGCTCGCCTGGGGGCCCGATGCCTGTCGCCCCCTCGCCTGGGGGCCCGGGGCCCGCCGCTCCGCCTGGTGGCCCGGGGCCCTGCCGCTCCACCGGTGGTGCCTTCGGAGTCCAGCCCGGTGTGCCTCTGCCCGGAGTCCAGCCCGGTGTGCCTCTGCCCGGAGTCCAGCCCGGTGTGGTGCCTCTGCCCGGAGTCCAGCCCGGTGTGCCTCTGCCCGGAGTCCAGCCCGGTGTGCCTCTGCCCGGAGTCCAGCCCGGTGTGCCTCTGCCCGGAGTCCAGCCCGGTGTGCCTCTGCCCGGAGTCCAGCCCGGTGTGCCTCTGCCCGGAGTCCAGCCCGGTGTGCCTCTGCCCGGAGTCCCGCCCGGTGTGCCTCTGCCCGGAGTCCCGCCCGGTGTGCCTCTGCCGGGAGTCCCGCCCGGTGTGCCTCTGCCGGGAGTCCCGCCCGGTGTGCCTCTGCCGGGAGTCCCGCCCGGTGTGCCTCTGCCGGGAGTCCCGCCCGGTGTGCCTCTGCCGGGAGTCCCGCCCGGTGTGCCTCTGCCGGGAGTCCCGCCCGGTGTGCCTCTGCCGGGAGTCCCGCCCGGTGTGCCTCTGCCGGGAGTCCCGCCCGGTGTGCCTCTGCCCGGTGTGCCGCTGCCCGGAGTCCTGCCCGGTGTGCCGCTGCCCGGAGTCCTGCCTGGTGTGCCAGTCTTTGATATCCCGCCAGTTACCAGACCCGGGCGGTGAAACATTTTGCCCAGCTAGGACTGTTTGGAGCGTCCTGAGGCCGCTCCTTGAGGGGGGGGGTACTGTCAGGAATGGTCTGGCCAGTAATGGTGGGACTCACCTGCCTTGTGGGCTGCAGTACCAGGGCTAGCCAGCGGGTGCTCCCAGCAATCAGAGACTCAACCCTGCAGCCAGCCAAACACCTGAAACTGCTTATGTAGGTGTATTTAAGTGATGGCCAGACCTGCAGTCTGGGCCTTGGTGTGTGTTTTTTCCTGGGCCCTGTATCTTGTTCCTGCATCCCTGTTCCTGTTCCTGTTCCTGTCTCTGTCTGATTCGTTGCTGACCCTGCCTGATCCGGACCTCTGCTGACTTCTCCTGCTTTATCCCTGGCTTGTGACCCCGACCATTTCTCTGCCTGACCCCCCCCTGTACCTACCTGCCCGATTGTTATTGACCCGGCCTGCCTGTCGACGCTTGCATTGTATGTATTATCTGTGGGTGGTTTGGTTCGTTTTGCACTGTGTTATGTTTTAGTATTGCACTGCGTTTATGTTTGTATTGTTAGTCTTTAATAAATTATATTGTTTATAACTGATCTGAAGCCTGCGTTTCCCTGCGTCAGTCACATACCTCTGGTCATACCCGGGAGCCTTGACATTAACTGTTAATGCATAATGTTGCGGGTTACAAGATATTTTAGTTATAATGGCCTTTTCACATGTGGGAATTAGCATGTGCTTTTGGTGCACATTATTACATACATGTTGTGCCTTTTTAATGCACTTTTTTTGTTTATGAATTTTGCAAAGTGAGCAGATAAAATGCAATAAACTATGCAATGCATGCGTTTTAAATTTATTTTACTAGGTCATGAATAATTGCACAACAGTCCAATGTTTTTTTTTAAAGGTGAAATAAGCTGCAGTACATAAATGTGACCTAGCTATATAGGAATGAATAAGCAAATATGGTAAAATATATGAAGCCCTTAATTTTATTGAGCCACTGATTCTCTTAAATCCTTTATAGTTTACCTACATAAAGTCTTTACAGTACTAATGTTCTCTCTTTCCCTTTTAATTATAATAAAGGCACCAAGCAGACAGGAGCACTATGTTAAGGGGATCCATATTGGACAAGGTGGTCTTATATGATGGGGGTATTATACAATTTTTAAAGGAGTGTAATGCTTTCCTGTCATGTACCATGGCCTTGATTAATGACTTTGACCAATATTTATTTTTACAAGTTAGCACAATGGCTAAATGGTTAGCACTTCCACCTGGCAGTACTAGGATCATTGGTTCGAATCCCAACCACGGCACCACCTGCCTGGAGTTTACATGTTCTCCCTGTACCTGCATGGGTTTCCTCCAGGTATTCCGGTTTCCTCCCTCACTCCAAAGACATGCTGGTAGACAGTGTTCTCCCAGCACAGAGACCGGGGTGTCACTTAGACCCCTGGGTCCCATTCTAACAATCAGGGCCCGGGACTCCCGATTCCGGGTCATGTGATAGCTGTGATAGCCTCTGATTGGCTATCACAGGGATCAGTCACTGTACAGCCCGGCCCCCTTGTTTTTTGTTTTTTTTTGTCTATAAATGGAGGAGAGAGATACATTGTATCTCCTTAAAACAAATATTAAAAAATAAAGAAAAAAATACCTAGATCAAGGTTTGATCTAGTTCAGTGTGAGGGTAAGTGTTTGGGTCAAGATCAGGGTCAAAGGTCTGGATTTATTTATATTTTTAAATTGGTGGCCGTGTCAGTTAGTGTCAGTGTGTTTTAGGTAAAAAAAACAAAATGTGCACTATTGTTTCTGGGCTGTACTATGGGTAAAAACAACAAATAACACACATGTATGGTATCGCTGTGATCATCAAGAGCTGGAAAATTTATTTTGGGTTGTTCTTTGGTGGTAGGTTATGGTAGTTTTTTTACGTCATTTTTTTACTATTTTGGGCCAGTTTTCCTTTGATAATAAAAAAAAAAAAAAAAACAGGAGATATCCATTACCATTTACCACCAAATGAAAGCCCAATTTGTCCTGAAAAAAAACAAAGTATAATCAACCTGGATGTACAAAGTAGTTGTGATGATATGTACGGTTTTACTAACACATGTCAAAGTTGCAAAATTGTGCTTAGGCATTAAGATTTGTTTTACCCTTAGGCGTGAAGGGGTTAAATACAATTGAACTTTTTCAATCCCCTGTTTGTGTTGGGTACTTTATTGCCCAAACTACAGCTCTTTACTCTTTAATCCTAAAGCTCCAGATTGCTTTACCCATAGTCACAATCTGCGCCTTTTCATTAAATGGTAACCTCCGTGTAGCTTCAAGCCAAAGTCATATTCTGTTTAGTGATATTCTTATAGTAATTTGCTCAACTTCAAATGTCAAATGGTATACTAGAACCTTCTCACGCAGTTACCATGCCCTCTCTGTTCAATTTGCTAGCCAGGATAGGCTACGTTCTTGTGCTGTTACATGGCATTTTTACATTTCAGAGAGCTAGAGAAATAATCTCTAATCCTCTAATTTGGGCTAAATTATGAAAGCCACACTTTAGATATCAGATAAATAAAATGGACATGAAAGAAAAATGGAAGATTTTCATACTATTTTAACTGGTTAGACATTTTGAGTTCACACCTGCTTGTTCTTCTAGATATACACAATGAATTACCACAACTTTACATTATCCAGAAGTCCTATCTTACTGCAGTGAGATGGGATAGAGTGAGTCAGTTATCAGACAATTGTGTTAGGTGCTTAGAAGAGCACATCTATTTTCTCTAATCCAGGGGTAGGTAACCTGCGGCTCTCCAGCTGTTGCAGGACTACAAGTTCCATCGTGCCTCTGCAAGTCATAGCTGTAACTGTCAGTTTTGTAATGTTGCAATGCCTCATGGAAAATGTAGTTCCACAACAGCTAGAGAGCCACAGGTTGCCTACCCCTGGTCTAATCTAATCTAGGACCATCTATGCAGTCTTTTAGCATTGCACATCTATATTTAGCTAACCCTTTGCCCTATGGGTATCCTTTATTCTAGATTGTTCTGAGGAATTCTTATTTAGGATACTTGATGCAGAAATGTTGTCCTATCATAATGTTTCTGGGTAGGAAAGCAATAGCAAAAGCTAATGTCTGTTTATACAACAAGCTTCCACTCATTTTAATTCTCTTTCCATACCAATATTGAATTATCTTGTCACTTGATATCATGTTTATTTAGTTGTTTTTTTTTTTTATCCAGACTGAAATTATTAGTGGTGTATATATTACCATTTTTTTTAAACTTAACTAAAGGAAAGTGTAAAACTGAATAGTTTCTGGTATGTACACCTAGGCTGTAGCTGCCAGTTTATCTAGTGGAGGAGGAGTGCAGGGCTTGGATTTGAGGAGTGAATGGCGAGAGAAGTTCAGGGTAAATTAGAAAAAAAAAGTACGGCAGTATGTAGATAAACAGGAGCAGGAGAGGAGTAAATAAGTGAGATCAACATTTTACAGCGTGGGATTGGAAAATAAACACACATAGTCGCCTAGATGGCTGCAGCATTACTCCGATACTGCAGCTGTCCCCCATCAGCTCTAAGCTTGAGAGCCTGTGTGATCTTATGAATGCTGATTGCTCCGTTTGCAGTCTTCATCGAGCAGAGAGTGGTGACTGTTTAGTCACTGGTTCTCTGT